ATTCACACACTTTACAGATCACTAGAGTACCCACTTAAGTTTTCGCAGCATTCTGTGTCTTTACCAGTCTTTTGGTAACGACTTCCAGCGGTGGACATTCCTCTTTCTCTGTGTTCCCGAACTGTCCCGGCCTCAGCTACACCAACTCTTGACTAATTGACTGAACTCACGCCCTACGGACTGTCTGCTTATAACGTCGGCGCGGACATCACAGGAAACACCGTATGTTGCTGTTTATGGGCCGTTGTCTAGGGCCGCCGTCATTGCCTAGCAGTGGGCCTACATACCACATTTTAAGGCTCTTTGCTCCGAATGGCCCACAGGCGTACCGCTATTTCTTCTTTTCCGCTGGCTGTGCTTGAGACGTCTCTGATCGGCCTCTCCTTCCTTCCCCATTTGTCATTTCCCACGGTGACTACTGTCCACCTTCTCCCGCTGCTTTCTCCTTGAGACCGCTGGTCCCGACCACTTCCCTGATAAGGTGCGAGCCGGTCCAGGTCTACTACCATCATCTTTGTTCTTTTCTGAGGGCTGTGATTTGGACGTCTAGACTGCTCGCTTCACGACGTCCACTCCGAGAGAGTGCCTGACGGTCTTGTTGAATGCTCTCTCGCTTCCTAGACATAGCTTCCGTCGGTCCTTTATTCCATTGTTGCATTTCGGGCACGTCCATCGTCTCCTCTCGAGCATCGGTCCTTCGGTGGCTCCTCTTGCAACATTGTCCCATCCTGGTTCCTTACGCGATGCAGGAATGGCACGGCCGGTCATCCGTCTGCGGGCGGCGGCCATCTTCCCGGACCCACCTCTGTCTTGGATCCATTACTTCAGCTATCGGCGGTACCCTACGGCTAGATGCCGGTCCGCATATCGGTCCTCCAGTGCCCCTATAGATTCTACTGCGATGTCTTCATTAGGGACTTCAAAGTTAGCCGCTCCGTCGTCTCTTCGCCAGGCCTTCATACTGGCTTCCATACTTTCCTGATGGGCGTCCATCTTGGCCATTATTCTTGAATTGAACCCATCTCTTTTCGCGCGCTCAGTTGGTAGGTTCTTATATCAACCACCATCCTTTCGTGGAATTCTTTATCTTTGGCTAGCAGCCTTTCCATCCTCTATTCCGTCATTTGTTCCATTTTTATGTAACACGACGATACAACTATCAACTGCAGTCTTCAGTCTAGCAATTCAATCCGACTGAGCAGTCAATTCAGTCCCAATTCTGACACCAGTTGTCACGTGATAGTGACTATAGACCGGGTTTAGATCGGTAATTGGATTTATTCAACTTTTTCAGATCCGTGACTGCAAGTAATTATAGCCATTTCACTAATTGACACGCTTTACAGTTACCGTAGCACACACTTAAGTCTTCCAGCTGAGGACGTTCCGCTTCCTGAGGGTTTCCCAACTGTCCCGGCCACCGCCACAGCAGCTCTCCAGTGACTGACTGGACTCAATCCTCACTCACTGTCCTGCTTACATGTCGCCACGGACCGTACAGAAGAAAAAAAGAACTCCGTCTGTTGCTGTTTGCGTGTCGTTGCCTATCAACGGGTCTACTTGCCACATATTATGTATATGTGTGTGTATATATAGTATATATAGAGAGAGAGAGAGTCATTGGATTTTTTTTATTTGAGCTAAACCGCACTGTGGCCCTGGGGTCGACTTAGCCTCTAACAAAATTGAGTACCAGGACTATTCTTGGGGATAAAGGACGGCCGGCGCGTAAGGCTGACAACCTTGTCGTCATCTATGAGCCGATTGTCTAGAAAATGTGGGAACCTCATCATCTCACAACCCTATGGGCCTCGACGGCCTGTTACAGGGATGCCTTTACTTGCTTTTAGAGAGAGAGGTCAAAAGATCAAACCCTATGAAAATGGTTGCTTAACCAGTTATGCAGCTGGCGTGAAAAACGGGAAAGGGCACCATCGTGACGAAATCACATGGCACTAGATATTAAGGGATATCTTTTCCAATGAAGGATATCAGCGTACTGAACGCCAATACTGTCACGTGTCACAGTGACTAAGACGCTGGTTTGGATTGGTAGTTGGATTTATTGGATACTTACCGGTCGTAACTACAAATAATTATTACACTTTTGGCGATTTCCCCACTAATACAAATCACTCGACACTAAGTCTTCTCGGTTTATTTAGTAACAGCTCTGCACAATGGCTATTCCTATGCCGTTGCCCGCTGCTTAACACTCCACAAGTGAACCATGACCTGACTCCTGTAGCGTCAGTTGTCTTCAAGATAACTCCTCAGTACGGACGCCGCGGAAAACACAACCTCTGTCGTTGCTGTTGTTGTAGTAGAGGTGTATGTACCTCGTCGTTGCATAGCAACAGTCGCAGCGCGGATCAAACAGAAAACGCCTTTCTTCTATTGTTGCGTGCGTGAATGATTCGGACATTACCTACTAACGGCCGGTGTTTACAGAGTCACTGCTTAGCACCGGGTCTGTACGCGACAGTACTATTCGCTGTCAGGTACGGTCCAATTAGTTAACCGTCTTTGTTGAAATGAAGATGACGTGTAGCATGGAGATTCCCCAGTGCCCAGTGGAGGATTGACTCCGCTCATTGTGAATGTTGCCCCATCAGCCCACAGTTCACGGCACTGTCAGTCGGGTTCATGCAGGTTTGTGCAGAAGCTGTCGATAGAACTGTAGGCGAAGATGTCCCCTGGCTATGCCCCTTGTACGAGTTACACATGAGAATTACACAACTCCGTACGAAGTGTATAGGCCAGTCTGAGAAGGGTCTGCCCTTTTGAAGCGAGACAAGTGCTGGTTGCTTGGTAACATGTACAGAGAGAGCATGTAATGTTTCCTCTTAATTCTTCACGGTGCTTATGCGGGCGCTACCGTGTGTTCTGGTGGCATGATTTCACCTGTCTCCTACGGTTGCGGTGTGCCGCTGCAAACCATGTCCGTAGCATTGCCCCCGGTTTGTATACCAACGCTGATGGTAGTTCGAAGTAGCTCAGGCCGTACACAGAAAGCATATCAGCATACTCGACACTAGTTTGCCGCCGGAAGTAATGTGAATCTTGTGACGTATTGTAGTCTCCGTGACACCACTGTACAAAAGAAATCGAGACTAAACGTTCAAATGCCATAACTGAATAGTCGTGAATCAAACAACTATTCCTACAGTTTGAGGTACTTGTAGCAGTGGTTATGAAGAGTTCTGTCTTCTGTAATGTCACGTTTAAAAGCAACCGACGTTTCGTATGAAAATATCGCTTCCATTTTCAGGAACGAAAAATAAGCGAAGCAAGAAACCAGATTGAAGAAGATAGTAAACAAAATACAAAATATTTTATGCTACAAATTGAGAGCTGGTATAGCGACAGGCTGGACGACCAAGAGGTCGGGGTTCGAGTCCCCGTAGGGCCAAGAATTTTCCCCTCTACATTTCGTCCAGATTGACTCTGGGGTTAAAACGGCCGGGACATGAAGATGACCACTCACCTCCAACTAGTGCCGAGGTCAAAAAAACCTTGAATCTTTATATCCACTCCTCCATACGCTTTCATGGCGTAGGGCTGAATTAGTTAAGCACAGGGAAAACTTTCCCTTTTATGCTCCAAATTACTCATATCTCAATAACTTTAAGTTTGCCGTTGGTCTTTGATCAACCTATGTATGTGCGTCCCTCTTTGGGTGAAAGAGAATATGAAGTTGCTGATCTTAGGAATCCCCGTTTTCACTACGATAGTTCAACATTGGCACTGCCATTAATTTATACAATTTTTATTTTGTAGAAGATAATGAATTTAACGCTACTGTTTCCTCAGTATTATCCATGGTAGTAGATCACAGTGTACCATACTAGTGAGCACAGTGCCTTAAAGTTTCCCATTTTCAAACAAACTAATGAAAATCTATACTTTTAACGCTTGTATATATTCTCTGTCCGTAGTTATTAGTTATTTTCGTAGTTTTTCATATGTTCATTGTAGTTACAGTATTTATGCAGGCATCTGGAAAGCTGTAAGCTTTGAGCCCCAGTAAAATACTAGTATATTGCATTAGAAACTTTTGGCAAATTACCAACCAACATCTCCTAATGCACACGGTTCTGAAATGGAGATAACGGAAGAGAGAAATTACGTATTTCGTATATTCTTCAGTCCACAGCACATCTCTTTCAGTGTTCCATCTAAAAGCCATCCATACATTCGTCATATAAAACGTAAATAGTGCTAAATGATTGCACATTCATATTCTTACAGTTTTGATTGCACTCCTGTTCACATGGGTGCAGTGTCATCATCTGGTGCGCTTCGCAGTTTGTGGTGCTGGATTATACTCAAAATGCACCGTTAGTTTTAAATTTTTTGGAGATACAAAGTAAACTGTGCCGCTTCAAACAGGCAGTGTAACACTGGACTCAGTTCCCATGCCCCGCGATGCAGACTTCGGGAAAAAATTCTCTCTTTGTATTTCATTAAAGTTGTGATGAATTCCACTGATAAGTATGTTTCGGTATGTGTGTTTTGCGTATTTATATATGTATGTAAATGTATATGCACATACTAAGTAAATAGAAGAGAAAAGGAATGTGGGAGGCCACCAAATGGATGGAGTGAACAGAGAAAATTGTAATTAGAATGGGTCCAATCCTTGAAGATGATGATTACTTGTTGGGGCCAAGGTGTTAGTTCAGCTACTGTTCGGTTCGCATGAGTTTTCTCAATAGTTCATGTAATAACAGTTGTTAATATTTCTTTATTGTTTATCTCATGGAAAACAGCTTTTTATTTGAAATTCAGAAATGCATTTTAGCATTTGCACAAGTAGACAAGTATGCACATGAACAACTATATGCGTTCACTTACCAATTTTCCCATCTTCACATAAATGTTATTATTTTATACCGCCATTTTTAATCACACTAGAAAAGAAAGCATTCTAATTGTATGGAATCTCAGTGAATTGTAGTTGTTTTCGTTTTCTGTTTGTCCGACCCTCTTGCTCGCAGACGAGACCGGCAACCGATGGAAAGGATTCAAAGCACCGGCAGCTTCAGGGGCCGCTACGGATCGCTCGCGATTCCGCCCGGCACCCTACACCCGCCCGACCAAGTAATGGGCCAGCCGCGGCACCACCTGCACCAATAGCAGCAGCAGTGGCGGCATCTGCTGCTGTTTTACCCTAAGTGACAACAGCGGAAGGGAGGGGGCGGCCCCGCACCACCCCCACCCTGCTCCGCTCTGCTCTTGTGTGTTTGAGAAATTCTGCGATGATGCAAGATGTGAGTGAAGCTGCCCAAATTTCAGATAAATTCAACCAAGAAAAATGGAATTATGTGATGACAATTATGGAGTGGAAGTGTGTCAGTGGCAGTGATTGCACAGCATGGAGACTCACTCTTCATGCTTAGTATCCATTCTTGTGAATATGTATTCGGTTACATGTTTTCAGTTCCCCTTTAATCCGTCCTTTCACATTTTAATATTTGGTAAATCCTATACCCCCCAAATGGTGTCAACTTTAATTATTCCGAGAGTTGTTTAATACTTTTGTAACTATGACTTATAATTTGTTTGTAACAAGCCACATAATTTCATCTTTGTCCCTATGTAATAATCACAGGACCAAATGAATGTAATGAAAAAGACAATCACAACAGGTGACTGATTAAGGAACAAAGACAAGGTCTGAATATAGGAACTCCAAATTAGTTATGATAACAGAAAAATCTTGGTTGGTGACATTCCAAGCAGCACAAAGTAACCAGGAACCTTACACACATGCATTGCGGAAGTCAGTCAGTTTTCTTGTTTAGTTCGTTGGTGCCACTATAGTTGTGCCAATAAAGTGTTTTTGAGTTCTGTAATGTGGAAGGCAGGATTGGCATTTCTTATTACAAAAATTTGTTCATGAAAATTAAGGTGGAACAACTATGCGATAATAAAGGGTATTGATAATAGGGCAGCATTGCTAAATTAGTATTTTAATAATTATGACACTAATTGAATTGTCTTTATACATAATCTTGTACTTGTTTTCATTTATTTTTATTTTAGTGTCAGCTTATTCTTAACATGAGAAGTATGCTATGTATTATGTAACACATAGAAGTTTAGATATATTAGATAATAACTTATCTTGCAGCATTGTGGTGTATGCTGAGTAGTTAGATTTTGCTTTTTCTAGTAGAAGTGGTGGCAGCTGGCTGTTCCACCTTAACGAGTTACTCCAGCTCCTCTTCTGACTAGCCACTGTGTTTTTCTTATATGTGTTCTCTAAATAACCTCTATTCTTGATTATAGATGTGTAAGAAAATAGTTGGACATTATTAATCAACTCCCAGGTGGAGGGCTAATTTACAGATGGACAGCAAATTAATAATATGTAGTTTGAAAGAAAACTATCATCCTTTGTTTTTAAAGAACTTACCTTCCTTTTATGCCAATATTTAAAAGAAAAAATGCAAACAAGTCCAATCTATGTGAAACTTAATGACATAATTGCGACAGTAGTGTACAGGCTTAAATGTACTTGGCTGCCCCAAGTGGACTTTTTCATGAATGTAAAAACCAAATCCCAATCAAACACTTAAATAATTCTCTTGTTTCCATGAAACTGGATCTAGATATTTATATGTCTTTTAAAAAACTATAAAACAATATTATAATAATAATAACAATAAAAATAATTACTAGTAGAGTAGAATGAGATGTAACAAAGTCCTTAATTTGTTTCATACAGTTTTAATTTTTCATAAGATTATCTTTGTAAGTTTTTTTCATTATTACATTTGTGAAACCTTCACCCCAAATAAAGCTGTTGTCTGTAGAAATGATGTGAAATAATTTTGTAATAATGTAATGTGATTGAAACCTATTTTAGACGTCACCAGGTCACTCTTAATGTAAATCACAGCCATTTAAAACAAACTAAAACAAAACTTGTGGCCCCAGAGTCTGGAACCGAAAATATGCCAGGTAAACCAGCAGCTCAATTTCTAAACAAAGTAGTTTCCAATTATAGTTTTTATTTTATATGCTAATTATAAATTCCTCAGCCCCTAACTTGCATTCTATAACAAAACCAAAATTAAAGCCCAGACGCATCTAAAATGATTAAAGAACTCAACCCATATATTAATAAAATGGAAAAAAAAAGCATCCTTATTGGATGTAAACATTTAAATAACAGACACTTCCTCCATCTTTACTTTGAAAATAAACAGTACGTTAGTACATTGCAGTGCTAAATGAATTTATAGTTAGCATAGTAGCATGTTAAATTATGTGCATATATTGATTATATAAATTTGAATTTAATAAGACAACTTGAATATGAAGTGTATTGTAAAACTGATTATTTTTTATCTTATTGCAGCTTGGTGGTGATGCTGAAGACTGACAGCTTGAAGACACCACCAGGGGGCACCCTGGCACCTACCTACATGTCTATTTGTGTAATTCATCAGTTCTGTAGAAATTACAACATCCAATTCTTTTCAGCCTTATACCATTCCAGTTTTTATTTGATGTTATATTACTTGTTAAATAAAGATATTTTTATACATACGTGACTACTTCCAGAGTTACTTTTCAGTTTCCTGTCCAGACACCAGAATGATACAGCAGTTAACAATAGTCATGCCTTTCCGTGTTCCACAACCATCCTTCTAAATTCATATCAGAAAAGTTCAAAACACATGCAGTATTTTTTTTATGTTTTGTGTTATATTAGAGTTAACTAGACTACCATATGACAATGGCAGCCATAATTTTATCTAGGTTGTACATTCTTAAACACATTTCATTCATTCCAATATTGGAAGTGATGTAAATGTTATGAATGATAATAGTTATTTACAGACTATGATAATACATATCTCTAAATTGGTTTTGTGTGGCTATTCAGTATTGCATATAGGCACATCAGCACATCTCTTCAGGTTTGCCTATGACATTTGACGAGCATTCAGGCGTGTATATGGAAGCTTCATTTACTCCATCCATTATGGATGTGTTTTTACTCTCATATCATTTCACATATAAAAATTGCATTAGGGTAATATGTTTCTGTAAAGGTAGGAGTGCTTTGCTTTGACACTATGTGTATGTGCTCCTTCATCTGCTGCCTTTTAGTTCAGAGAATAAATGTATTTATATCACAGTGGGACATTATTAAAAAACTTGTTACATGGGTTTTATAGTTGTTTCATGTTTTGTGCCATAAATTTTCTTCAGAATAACTACTCCATCAGAATACTTCGTTAATTTTTTAGGAATGATACATATTGCTGCGTGGTCAGGCCATTCTCCTTGATCTACATATTAGAACAATTTTTACCTCTACTGTTAAATTTGCATATGATATTTAAACGTGGACTTGAGTCACTTTGACAGTAACTGCAATACTGCAATAGTATCTTTCAAAACAAGAAAGAACAAGAACAAGAAAGTTTTTGGTTGCATGTTGTAACTGTTCCATCCTCTTACCCCCTCCCCGACACATACACACACTTGGCAGATAATGTGTGTCAGTGTTTTAATTAATGGTGTTAATACTGAAAGACCAGTACAAATTTATAGGAAGGAATTTCATCTTACGCTCTTCATCTACAGGAGAATAATCTGAGAGCCTGCCCCATGTCTTTCAGCCCATCCTGCATTTGGACTGACATAGTCAGTGGGCCAGTAGCTTAAATTCATTAAAATTTCTATTCACTATCCAGTAAAACTTCTAAGAGCTGACATGAAATGAGTTTATGCATTGTGCAATCCAGTCATTTCACTTCTTGTGTCAAATTAAAAGTTAGGAAAAATTTCTGGCATAAATTTCAAGATATTGTGGATCTAAATACAATAAAAATATTCATACAGTCATAAATAATTTACACAGGGATGTTGTGAACAAAAAGAACCAAATCAATTGCCAAATACTCAGAGAAGAGAATTTGAATGGAAATGTAACGCCCTCAAACATCCCTCTTTAAAATGTCTTAAGACACCTTGTACTGGAAACTGAGCTTTAAAGTTGCAGGTTTTAACTGGCTTCAATTTGTGTGTAGACTGTCATTATTACATCCCTGAACAAGGTGTCATGTGATTTCCCAATATTGTCCATACAAATCTGGTCAGTTATCATCCTTACTTACTTACTTACTTACTTAAGGAGCTGAGCCCTTCTTGAGGAGAAGCCAAATCTGCAGCTACTCAAGAATTTCCCAGCATTTTATTGAACCCGAAGGTTTATTACCGTGTTCACAAGAGACCTCCACTGGTCCCTATCCTGAGCCAGATCAATCCAATCAATACCATCCCATCCTATCTCTCTTAAGATCCATTTTAATATTGTCCACCTACCTATGCCTTGGTCATCCCAGTGGTCTCTTTCCTTCTGGCTTTCCCACCAATATCCTATATGCATTCCTCTTCTCCCCCATTCGTGCTGCAGCCCATGCCCACAACATCCTCCTTGTCTTCATGGGTGTAATTATACTTAAAGAAGAGTACAAGTTATGAAGCTCCTCATTATGCAGTTTTCCCCAACCTCCTGTCACTTCATCTCTCTTTGGTTCATTATTCTCAACACCCTGTTCTCAAACACCCACAGTCATCCCTTAATGTCAGAAACCAAGTTTCACACCCATACAGAACCACAGGCAAAATTATAGTTTCGTATATTCTAATTTTTATATTTTTGGACAGCAGACGAGAAGACGAAAGGTTCTGGACTGAATGGTAGCAAGCATTACCCGAGTTCAGTCTCCTCTTAATTTCCTCCTGAATCAGGTTTTGATGTGTTATCATCGTTTCCAAATATTTGAACTGTGCCACATTTTCAAAACATGTTACTATCTTTATGTCATGATTTTGCCCTGCTTTTTGGTGAGGAGACAGCAACGTATACTTAGTTTTCTCAGTGTTTACTTCTAGACCAACCTCCCTGCTAGTAGGGTCAATTAAAGTTTGTGTGTTTCTCTTTATGATGTTTATATTATCACCCAGTAGATTCAGATCATCAGCATAGGCCAACAGCTGATATGTCCCATTTAATTTCAATCCCAGCTGTTTTTCCTGGACCTACCTAATGGCATATTCAAAAGCAAAGTTGGAAAGTAGTGGCAATAAAGCATCTTCTTTTACACCATTCTGGATACAAAAATTATCAGACAAATGTTTACCTATACGGACTTTACCATATGTTCCGTTTAAACAGATTTTAATCAGCCTAACTAGTTTCATGGGTATCCTGAACTCTCTCAGAATGTTGTACAATACTTCCCTCCTAACTGAATCATAGGCAATCTTGAAGTGTAAGAATTGGTGATATACTGTCTCATTGTACTCTCATTTTTTCTCCAATATCTGATAAATGTAAAAGATCTGATCAGTAGTTGATCGGTTACGTCAAAACCCACTCTGATTATCCCCAATAATGTCATCTATATATAGACTAAACTTTGAGAGAAGAATATTGGATTAAATTTTGTATGAAATTGATAGCAGGGATGTCACCCAATAATTACCAGTTTTATCACCCTTGTGAACTGGTACAATAATAGACTCCTTCCACTGACAAGGCAATTTTTCCTTATGCCAAATAGAAGTAATTAGTTTATGGATACATAATATTTCGCCTTGTGCTTGAATAAGTTCTGCCCTAAATTGATCACTACCTGGCGATTTATACCTTTTTAATTCTGCAGTAGCACTTTCAACCTCAAAGTGCTAGGATCTCACCCTTTATTATGCAGTGTAATAAATGACAGATGGAAAATGAATAATTCAGGTAGGCAGTCTGAAAACATTTCTATTTGGGAAACCACATAACTCCAGCACTTTGTCACATATTAGTTACATACATGAGAAATTTTGTTCTGCTCACCCTGGCTGCTGCTTTGATGTGGTTAGCCTGGTGCCACTCCTGTGTACTTCGCTGTTATTTCACGATGTGGCTTCACTGGAACTGAAGTACAGGCATCTGCATGCAAGTAGACACAATCAAGCCAGGCATAAATCATTGGGCGACATTACACATAGTGTGCTTTCATACAGGAAGCAACTTTTCTTTTCAAGATGTATAATTTCTCCCCAGTATTATTTATGAATTGAGTATTTCAGAAATCTACAATTTTCTGTTTAATGTTTGTAATTTATACCGGCTATGATTGGACAAATGTGCTGTCTGTATAGATGAGTTATGATAGTGTTGCAAAGGTTCGCAACCCCTTGTAGTTTTAGGAACTTTTGAGTCTGATGTCTGGGGTCATGCCCTCTACTAAAATTTATAGCACGTCAAGAGGTTGACCTGCTTCCACAAAAAAAATGTTATATCTACCCCTGCCATTTTCATAAATTAGTGGAGTCCTGGAGTGTTTCGTCTGGGACCTACCCTTCAACAACCGCTGGTGTAACTTGAGCTGCGTGAGGGTTCATGTCTCGAGCCATTGGGCTGCAAGCTTAGTTTAGATTAGGTTTTAAGAACATACACACAGTCTCAATAAATCCTCTATAATCTGTAGTGAGTATTTGCTCTTTGTGGTTGGAATACACGCACAGGCAGCCAACTGACAATCATCATCACTGAGTTATTACGCTACCGCTCGGCCAACGTAATTCAGTCGACCAGCCAACATCTTGGGTCACGACAATAGCACTTCTGGTGTATTCTTTCAAAGGATAAAAAATGTAAAGTTTCAAAAAAAACTGTCAGAATATTAACACAAAAAAAAACAACACTCAATTAAATATCTTGCTGACATTTATTATTCTTGAAATAATCTTCCAAATACAATACAGTTGTCTAATGTGCAGAAATGCAAATGTTTTAATTGAGTACAAATTGTTTGTTTTTTTGTGAATGTTGAAATAATGAACTGGGAGCAGTGCTTGATGGACCCAGCTGTGTTTTGGTGAGGTGTTCATGTAGCCCTGACTGGCAACTGGAGTTATGTTGAAGCCCTCAACAGTATTCGTGTTCATGTAAGTACTAGATTATATGCAGTGTGGCCGACAGGTTGCAGAAGCTGCTCCGATCTGCCCTCACAGGACTCATGCAAGCTAAGAGCTGGTGCAAGAAGGAAGTGTGAGAGATCATCTCTTGGTTTCAGGTATTTTCTTTGTAGGACATATATCAGCGTTTCCTTACTGCAGTAATTCACTTTCAAGTTCTCAAAGAAGTGAATGCAAATAAATGTGCTCTGGTGTCACGACTAACTCTGGCAATCAGAACCACAATAGGCTTCAACCTTGGACTTTCTTGTAGATTTATTCTGTAAAACATGGATAGACTGCTTCCCCGTAGGACTGAAAAATGTACAGCAACACCGTTTCATTTGTGATTAGTTAGAAATTCCTGTATTTTCATATTTATAGTAGTCATGATTATTTGCTTAAAATTTCTCACCTGGGGAACCGATTTCTATTGTATCAAATAATGTTTTGTTTTTTGTTTTTTTTTCTTAAGGAATAGTAAAATTTCCATGTATATCAGATTTGGCTGGAAAGACACAGGAAGGAGTTGAGTACTCATTTAATGTTAAAAAATTACGAAATCTTGTCTGTTATTACGGTAAGAAGTAAAGATTGCGGAAAAGCAACTTCAACCCGTGTGTGGTAAATGCTCGTATAATTCATATAACATCGCGATCGCAGAGCAGCTGTACAAATACCGGAGGAAGGAAAGTGACAAACTGACTGGTTTCCTCCAAGCATTGAAGTCCAATTTCTAGAGCACCTTGGTGCATGGACAAGAAAATAATATTTGATGCAGAGTGAAGCCAGGACAGATCTCTCAATTCAATTTAATTGCGTGTCTAATGACCGTTGACCAATCATCTGAGGCACATTAAATGTGCAGTAATTTGTGACCCAATCTCTTTAGCTATTTGTCTTCATAATCACAGAAAAATTCTTCCTTCAGATGGCATCACGACACGTGTGAAAACTTCATACATCCACTTTGATTAACAATAACAGCTCTTGTCACCTTGACGGCACTGTTATAACCAACTAGTAACTTTGCTCACATATTGTAGACCATGATATTTTAATGGGGTCGCTTCATGGCGCGGGTGTTATTACACTAAGATACGAGTCGTAATGGTTCCAGTGGGAGCAGATCAGCTATAGAGAAAGACGCGGAAACGTTGCCAGGAGACATAAAAATAAATAGGTCGAAGAACACACCGACTGTCCTGGCAGATGCTTTCTTACGTTTACGTGTTCTGTGCAGGTAAATACAGGCCATTATAAGCCAAAGCGGCTTTCCCCACTTAGTCGTATCGTCTGATTTCGTTGAACCCAACGTAGGTAGCCCATGGAGTTAATACAGTATTGCTGAATTGTTTCTTTTTATTGCTAGTGGGGTGGGACTAAGTCCCTTTTACTGCGGACACTTCTGGCCTATTGTACCAGCCCCAGACGATAAGTGAGGGTGATTGTGGAGCAATTGGTGGAATGAAGATTGGCAGGGGAAACTGAAGCACTCGGAGAATACCTGCCCCAGCACCACTTTGTCCACTACAAATCCCACTTGACTATACCCGGCATCGAACCCGGTCCGCCGCGGTGGGAAGCCAGCGACTAACCGCTTGAGCTATGGCGCGGCCCTAATTGCTGAATTACCTAAGCTTTAATATCATCGGATATCAAATGTTTTATTTGTATTGCAGTGGTAACGGGAGCCTTCTACACATTAAAACTGTCTAGTTCTGATCAACTTTTCCTTCGAAAACAAGCGGATAGCTGTACGTACTTTGCTCGTTTTCATGTTCAGTAGTCGAAATCAGAATTATATCTGTTTATAAGCTTATATAGTACTGTCTCTTTATCGTACACATATGATTTCCAATCATTCGCCTTTGAAACGTTCTGTTCTCAGAAGCTACTGCAATTGCCCTGTCCTGATGACGTATGTCATTACGTGGGACTCGTAATTCTCAGGTTGAACGCGCTGAGAGCTAGTGTAGTAGTTCATCAGCTGTGGAAGAAAAGTGCGTTGTTTGGTGATAATAAGTTTGTGAAGGACCAAAGGAATATGATGACAACTCCGAAGATTAGCTCGAAGGCATTTAGGATCATCTGTCCGAAGGTAAAACCTTGATACATATGATGACCAGATTACTCTGGCAAATTGTAGAAGTTTGTGCTCTACATATTCAGTGATAGGTTAGAATATTTATTACTGATTGTGTTTCAGTGATGAAATTGATTGAGCTCTTCGGGATTTATAACGTGTGGATGTGGGATAGACTATTATTATGTTTTTACTATTTCCAGAATTAGAAATTTTATTAATATATTGGGAACAGCGATTATGAAGAAAAAAAAAACTGTAATAGATGCTTGAAGTCGAGTCATTTACAAGTAAAGCCAAATTCAATTGTATGCCTTCGTCACATCGTTAAATTAAATGATGAAATGGCTTATAAATATTTCAAGAAAAGTGTCAGACCTTGTATACGCGTGAACGACAGGAACAAATCAAAATTCCAGTCTTGAGAAAATCAAGATCACGTTAAATGTGGGAAATGCTTGCTAACATTAGATTCAGTATCCCGCCATCTCAAGTCTTAACTAAACAACGTGTACAAAGTCAGCATTTTATGAGTTTGTATGTGCTGAGAAGAATGTTTGGAATGAATGGAAGGAAGTAACAGCTTCATAACTTGTATGTTTCTCCAAGTATAATTAGAATAAGCAAGTGAAGGAGGTTGATATGGGGAGAAGAGGAATGCATATAGGATACTGATGGGAAAGTCAGAAGGAAAGAGACCACTGGAAAGACCAAGAGGTAGGTTGATGAACAGTATTAAAATGGATTTTAGAGAGATAGGATAGGATGGTACGGATTGGATTGATCTGGCTCAGGATATGGACAAGTGGAGGGCTCTTTGAATACGGTAATGAACCTTCCGGTACCATAGAATGCTGGGAAGTTCTTGAGTAGCTACACAGTTGGCGGCTTCTCAAGAAGGGCTCAGCTTCGTGAGTGAGGGAGGAAGGAAGTAGCTGGAAGATGGGAAAGACAATGCGAAGAGTACAAATAATGGGCTTTCCGCCAAATTTTATTACGATTAACAAATCAAGAATAATGGAGGAGAAAGAAATACGAGGGGCAGATTGGAGAATAATAAAAATGAATCTGCAGTGAATAGGAAGGACTAGATTCATCTGACACAAAATAGGTACCAGCGGTGGATTCTAATGCACGGTAATAAATCTGCAGGTTCCATAAAATATGGAGAGTAGCTTTGTCAGAAGAATAACATTAGCTCTCTTTATGAAGGATTCAGCTGCATGTAGTTAGTAGTGTGAAAATTGTGACATACAGACACCCTGGATAGCGCAGTCGGTATAGCGACTAGCTACGGCCTGAACTACCGAGAGGTCGGAGTTCAAGTCCCGGTGTGGTCAAGAATTTTCTCTGCCTCACGTCGGCTCTGGGGTTCACCCAACCTCCTAATCAGTGGGTAGCGGGGGATCATTCCTCGGGGTTAAAGCAGCCGGTGAAGCTGACAACTCACCTGCAACTAGTGCCGAAGTCAAGAAAATATGCATCCAAACCTCAACTCCCCCTTACGCCTTCATAACGCAGTGCTTAATTAGTAGTTAAGCACAGGGACAGCTATACCTTTATAGGCACACACCCTACATGAGCGGAAATTTGAAGTCGTAATAAGGACTCTGGCAAATGACACTCCGGACTGGTAAGATTGTGCATAACAAAGTGTGGCCATGCAATGGCACTGAAATTTTTTTCTCTGAATTTGCCAGTGACATCACTCATGGAGTTAAGCCCTTCTTGAGAAGCCGCCAATTATGTAGCTACTCAAGAACTTCCCAGCATTTAATGGAAACCGAAAGTTCATTACCGTGTTCACAAGAGCCCTCCACTGGTCCCTATCCTGAGTGAGATCAAACCAATCCATAAAATACCGTCCAATCTCTCTAAGGTCCATTTTAATACTGTCCACCAACCTACATCTTGGTCTTCCCAGTGGTCTCTTTCCCTCTGGCTTTCCCACCAATATCTTATATGCATTCCGCTTCTCTCCCATTCGTGCTACAAGCCCTACCCATCTCATCCACCTTGTCTTGATCATTCTAATTATACTTGGAAAAGAGTACAAGTTATGAAGCTCCTCATTATTCAGTTTTCTCCTACCTCCTGTCACTTCATCTCTCTTCGGTCCAAATATTCTCCTCAACACCCTGTTCTCAAACACCCTCAGTCTGTGTTGCTCCCTTAATGTAAGAGACCAAGTTTCACTCCCATGCAGAACCACAGACATATTTATAGTTTTGTATATTCTAATTTTTGCCGGTCATGCTAGCCGAGCGGTCTAAGGCATGTACTGTCTTCGCTGGCTCGGAAACCGGGATTGTGGGTTCGAATCACACTCAAGGTATGGATGTTTAGTTTGTGTGTGTGCGTTTTTCTGTGTTTGTATACAGATAGAGGCCTTGCGACGAGCTGATCACCCGCCCAAGGAGTCCTACCGAATGTGTAAGATCTAGAAAAACCGAAGTGAGCGGGGAAGTTAATGGAGATAGGCCCAGGGCCACTGGGGCTGTATTGCCAAGGGGGGGAAAAAATCTAATTTTTATGTTTTTGGACAGCAGACGAGAAGACGAAAGGTTCTGGACTGAATGGTAGCAAGCATTACACGAATTCAGTCTCTTAATTTCCAATAAATAACGACAGATATTTCGTCAAATTTTCTCATTCTATATAGTGCCAAATGCTTGGGGCATTGATGTGTAAAATATTTGTAAAATGTGTTTATCTCTGTCCTGTATAAAACGAGGCATAGTTCTGAAGTTTCTTTAAGAAAATATTGTTGAGTATCAGTAGCTATATCTGTAATGAAAAGTTTCAATAATTTGTAAGCTCCGTAGGATAAGTACAGAATATTTAATCAGTTTTCCAGTTCTTTCATATATTTTCCTTCGTACTGACGGATAAATGCCTCAGAAACGCTCCCTGGCGAATCGTTTAGGTCTTCAACTTATATTATGCGCACTTTGGAAATGTTCTTCACGGTGCTTCGTAGAGAATTATCGCATGTTGACATGTTTGGTCTTCTAGGGGGCCACGCCATAGTAGAACCTCATCGAATCTGCCATCCACGGCTCGTGTTATGAATATATTAAGGAAGTGTTATAAACAGAATACGCTATCTTGCTGCAGGATGCATTTCGATTCAAGACCCGTGTAATGCAGTTGCGGTTCAAGGCACATTTTAAGCTTGTTGGGAAATGCTGTGTGACCACGTCACTCGAAGAAGTATAGCCCAGTGAAATGATCCGTTGAAATTTCTACCCACATAATGCTGTGGAGTTGTTACTGCTAAATTTGCTTCTAGTAATGCATGCTTTCCTTGTGTCAAGTACAAACATTGACGTCCCTATTGCTGGGATATATAGGACACTCGTTTGAGAAGGAAATGTCTGGTATTGGCTGAAAGTAAGAAACTCCCATTTTCCTGTAGGCAGCCTCGTTTTTGTGTAAATATCTGTCACTGAGTTCATTAATGTACCCAAGCTTAAATGGACTCGACTATAAATCTTTTTATTATTCTGCGTGTTATTTAATGAGGAATACTTAAGTCAGAGAAACATCTTCAATGTGATTGTTGTACGAGTAGCATAGTATTCTAACATGTAGTAGATCCGTTGCTGATTAACGGCTTGGCAAACATCCCCACGGCAACGATTGGACTACAATAATATGTGGTTTTTTCTGTACGGTCCGTGATAAGGAGTTATAAATGGGACAGATGTCGCAAACGTCGTTTTTTTTACTGTTACATGTCTTGACGCATGCCGGTGTGCGGCCAACGTAATGCTTGAAGCTCTACGCTTGCTTTTCTTGTGGGTTATTTTACCACTCTATCCATATCTAAAATCTAGAGCGCCGAATGATGGGGTGGTCAACGAATGATAAATTAGAAAGGAATTGGCCATGGGCTACAGGGATATTCCCAGGAATTTTCCTGGAGGGACCGAGTAAAACCGCGAATGTCCTCCATTAGAGTAGTCGGTTTCCCGGGCGAGATTAGAACCGAGCGTGTCCCGAATAGAAGTCTCTATCATTTCCGCAACTTTAATCTACGTGGTGCTGATAAGTAAACGCCAACTTCATTGACAGCTTGCAAGGCTAGTCAGTTTCGACAAATGCTTATGTTAGATACGGTAACAAAGTGAAACTCAAATTCGCTGCAGGTGTGCTGATCGCAATGTTTTAAGGACGTTTCCCGATTAAGACGCGATTTATTACTTCTGGGAATGTCTGAATGAAAAAAGTAACAGATCAGTAACTTTCGATATCGCCAGCTGAAATTAAAATAGCCTGTATGTATATATGAGGGGCAGGCAGTAAATGGATCACCGTTTGAAGCAGAATAGCTGTAACTTACGTAATAGGTTCTCTGTTCTTATCACTAGGTAGCAACATCGTCCAGCTACATGACAATCTAGGTAGGAGACTTGCATGCGCATGTTCACAAGTTGGTTTCAGCAGTCGAAACGGCTGCCGTTCTTGAGGATTGTACTACCGAAGAGCAGAGTTCTGTTGTGAGTGTTTTGTGGACAAAATGTCTGTGCTAAGAATATTCATAAATAAATGTCTTATGTTTACGGTGGGAAGTGTTCGTCGCGTAAAGCGGGTCACAGCTGGGTAGCAAACGTTTCCCTGACGACAAAGAGGTTGAAACTGAGATGCGCAAGTAGCATCAGTGTTGGTGGAGGATACATCGAGAAATAATTTTTTGGGCTTCAACTAGCACATATTTTACGTTTTGTACCATTTGTGATCTATTTACTGACTCTCCCCTGTATATATGTATGTGACAATTTTTGTACAAAGAAAAATAAATACTAATTACGTGTAAATCAGCACATATTTTCAACAGCCTCTCTTAGGAATGTGATGACTATTTCCGAAAATACTTAAATTTCATCTCTGTTTCTGTAACTGAAGGAGATGCACGTAATTGAATTCTTTTCGTATCATGTTGCTTTTAAAGGGCTTAAGGTACGTAATTTTTTTAAAACGCCGAATCGAAAAATGAAATGAAATGAAATGAA